AAGTCATGGACTAGGAATATAGAAAGGAATATATAGGCTAGCTAGTTTTAGCATAATGTATCTGTTCGCTAAGGTAAGATGTATCAGATCTATCATCACTGTAAATATAGCGCGTCTGCTCGTGTAATTGACACGACAGATTCCCGATGAGCAAATTTGCTGACGTCATCTACGAAATTCTACACTTACGACGAGACTCGATATGTGTTTGTTGTACTACTTTCGGGAATGCTAAGTATGAAATATATCACAACAAGAAGGTGTGGGACCGAGTCCAACGTGAAAGTCCATTCATGCTCAAGAAATCATTGCGTTTTCAACTGCAAAAAAGAAAAAGTTCCACCTGCGAGGAGATCTCATACAACTTTGAGCTGCATGATGAATCTCCTGCCGTAGATCACAATGAGTGTGCATGCGTGTGCTTGTTATTCACGATGGAAACCGTGACCAGCTTCGGCGATCGATTGGGCAACCTCGACAAGCGGACCGGCACCAGACTCTTCACCCTAGAAACATGGATGCCGAACTAGAAGGAGCGGAACAGCCAATGCATGGAGTGGTCACGCCGCTCGTTGGCCTTTTCCGTGCTGCTGACAGGAGAGATGTTCTACCCCTTATGTTTTTTAATGTTAAATTCCTTCCCCTCGGACTAGAATCCCTGCATCCTACTGTATGCTTCCCCTAACACCCTCCCCTTCATCCGCCACAATCCTTGACCTCCTGCAAGAGTTGACAAGCGGGTAGCAACCAAGAATCTCAACACCATCATCCCTGTGTTGAAGGCTGCACCTATGGGGAAGAGAAGCGTCAATCAGGGCTTGATGGCACTGCTCAAGATAGTCGACACGCTGGAGGGAGACCCCAACTTGGGCGTCTCTGGGTGGCATTGGCAGTTGCCTCTCAGCACACTACAATATGAAAAATGCTTCAGTAGACAAAACGTGATCAAGCGATAATACAGTGACAAACTGAGGAATGCGACACTAGGAGCATTGCTCTCCTGGAATACGAGCCCGACTGGAAGGCGGTGGTGACAATGTGGACGAGGGAAAAGCAGAAGCCATTCTCTACCCGAGTACACCCCTGAAACAGGGTGAAGAGTTTCAAGGAAAAGGAGGAGGAGAGAGGAGGAGGAGGAGGAGGAGGAGGAGAGGAGGAGAGGAGGAGGAGGAGGAGGAGGAGGAGGAGGAGGAGGAGGAGGAGGAGGAGGTGGAGAGAGGGGGCTTTCTTGATGAAGCATATTAAGAAGAATAGAGCAGCATGCTAATGATACCACCTCAGCTGAGTGAATGATTTGTACTCGCTTGTTCAACATATTGCATAAATGAAACAAGGGCTTAAGATTCTCGTAGTTGTGTTAATAAAGGAAATCACCAAGCTCTATCAGCTTGATTCCTAACCCTGTTGGCTCCGCCTAACAGAAATTCCAACCCTGAAATTTCTACCTACATATGAAACGACTAACCTGGAGAAAATGGGAGCTCACATGGGAAGGCCTGAGCAATCAGCCTTGTAAATCGAATATGTGGTGCATTTTTCTCATCAAAAGCACCACCATAAGAGCCAACGGTTTCCGCCATTTACTGTACTCGCTTGTTCCCATAGCACCTTGTCCCACCTCTTTGTATCCCCTCATATATCCGTTACACTGCTCTACGTCCATACTCTCTAATGGGAAAATTACTGTCGCGGTCTGTCCACGAAATCTTTCATACTTTTGTGGACAGGCCGTACATTCATGCTTACAAACTTTTGCTTCGCCCATGGACTCTGTACATACTTGTGGGCATCGGGCATACTTCCATGAACAGACACAAATTCCACTTAAAAAGAGTGATTCGAACTGTACATCTGCTGATGGGCGGAAAACAAAAACTCGCGAATTCGGGGCCATCGCAAAGGGTCGCAAGCTACAGTTCCCGCAACGAGCCCAGCCAGCAACTTGTTCCGCGTAAATCCATGTTATCTTGCAACGACGCCCTGAATCCATTTCAGCAACGGTAATATACGGGCTATAGTCGACACCAGGGTGTATAATTCACAGTGCTCTAAATCTCATCATTAAACTAGATAGCAACACCATACGTGAAATCCGATGTATAAGCATGAACGAAATATACAGCTTTCGACATTTAAATTGATCGGAACTAATGCCCTTCAAATGAACTTATAATCAAACAAAAAAAAGATTTGTGATGAAAAAATTATGCCCACAATGAATCTGCAATACAACCAGCTATGGATTTACATGCATTGCTCAATAGATTCTATCCGAACTAGTGTATTCTATAGAAAGCTAGTGTATGCCAAGAGCCTTCACAATGTTACCAAAATTTGACCAAATATAAACGGGTCAACTCGGTCAAAAATAGATCCAAACACTTCATATGATGTATCTTTAGCTCTATCAGAAACAACCGATGGAAGTACTTGAACTACGACATACACAGATTGTGTATATTATGCTAACTCTTATGAAAAATGTAATATTTCAAAACCCATTTTTCACCTTGAAGCTTGGATGCGTGACTCTTATGAATGATAACTCAGAGAATAGCGCAGTATTCAATAAGGGGAACGTGACTACAGAGTGTGGATAGAAATGAGACCTAGGCAATATATAGGGCGGTTGACCAGGTTTGAATGTCGAGGGTTGGACCATTCAAGGGCAGAGAGTCCCGAGAATGACGAGGGTGAAATGGGTTCGGGGCGACTCGGGATCAGGATGGGGACTGAATAGGTCGGCAGGGGCTGGTTCGGTGCGAGAACCGAGGGTCAAGCCTGTGGACCCGAAAAGTTCGCGTGTACCTGCTGAAGTGAGCCCAAATAAGGAATCGTAATTCCTTACACTCTCCCACCTTCTAAAGAAGGCACTCCCAATATCAAGGCCGAATAGTCATTTAAAGTAATGACCAGTATGACTGTAGGTCTTGAGCCCTGTAACGAGCGTAATGATTATGTCGGTCTGACGAGGTCTTCAAGTCGAGCTGCAATCAAAGGTCAGAAACGTCGAAATGATCGCTTTTAATCCTGGCCGTCGAAGATGGTCAAATTCTTCAGCTGACCAAACGGGCTAGGGTAAATACTCCAGCGGAAGACCGTGAACAGTGAAACTGTCGAATGGGCAATTGACAATGACGCATGGCTGTTGGAAAATCCTGTAATGATGACGCACGAACGAGAGTGGTTTGCCGGATGAGGAGGAATCGTTCATCGACTCGTGAGGTCGTCCATGACACATGCGAAGGCACATGTCTGTGTCTCACAAAAATCTGCGAACTCCATCAGCGAGTTAATGAGCGCAGGCGTGGAAGCGTAACTAAAACGAATATTGGTCGAAGATGGATGATAGAACAGGCAGGAAGGGTCTTCGAAAATTTGCAGCACAGCTGCACCTCCCCCCCCCCCTACAAAACAGCTCCCAACTTCCGAGGCAAAACTCAAGTAAACCCATTGCTCCAGGGTGGTCAAAATATTCAACACTACTGCGTTAAATTCTCATACTCAGCTTCGAAGATGTCGCTGAAATTTATCCCAGTGACAAAACTTGAACCATGATGACTCCAAAATCTGCACCAAGAAACTTTTTGCTGTAGGGTAAACCGATTCAAAGGTCTTGAAATGCAACTACTGCTCCCGAAGACTTCCACACGAACTAAAAAAATCTTCACGAGTCAGTACACTACTTCCGAGCTGGTTCAACAATTGATTCTCTAAGCTGCCGAAATTCTTGTAGAGCGGATACGATACTGCTCCTGATGGGTGGCGATGGCGGACTGGGTTTTGTTCACACAGGCAGACAAAGTAAGCGAATTGTCAATGGAGGCGTGAACGAGCGTTGGCGAGAGGTTGACGACGATGGCAATGGAAAGCAAACCACTCCATTGAATACCCTCGAGCCAACCTCAGGGTCATATGGCGCTAGCTGCATCAGCTACATGGTCCGTACACGTCAAAATATTCGGGAAGAGCTAAAACAGCTGCTGCTCTCTTCCCCCTCCACGTACCCAAAATATTTATAGAGTATTGGTCGATGGCGCTCGTACCCCTTAAGATAGCAGGCACAACTCCAGCAGTAAAACCTTGAACTGCTCCTCTGTTTCTTCCAGCGAACATGACGGAACTCCACCCGGTACTTCAAAAAATATCGCAACTCTGCTTCACAACTACTCGTAAAAACACTCAGGCTTCGCGCGTTCTTTAGCAGCACCCCGGTTGCTCCACCAGCTGTACGCATGAGATGAAACCTTATTTTAGGGAACAACCGAGTCCACCACCTCGGCATGATGTTTTGGCCATCGATCAGGGTTAACGCGCATATTGCAGTTGGTTTCAAAGAAAACCAAGTTTCAAATGCCTGTCGTTCAGCACCAACCGCGCTGGGGCTCGGAAAAAAAAACTAGTATCGCGTCGGTGTCGGATACACGCTAGAAATTGTCTCCCTTCAGCGACCATCTGCGACCTGGGCCAGTGTAACATGACGGGATTCGCCATGCATGTGCTGCTAGACATGGAGGGGGATTCTCGAAAGGGATAGCTAGGCATGCGGGGGATTCTCCGATAGAGAAGCCTAGCTAGATCCAAAGTAGACACTTGCTACCCTAGAGTCCTCTCTCCTATCTCCGCTGGAAGGAAATGTCTAGCTGAGCATATCATCGAGGTGCTATGCCAAGATGCTATGCTTGATGGATAGGCAAATATTCTTTCGAGACTGTTCACTTGGAAAGGAACTCCAGTCCTATACCCATTGACTAGAGGCTGCAAGGGGCCGCAAAAAGCCTGCAGTATGGGCTGCAGCTGTATGCCGACCTCCACTCTGGCTTCTCCAATGTTCTTCACATCATGCAAGAAGAAGGCGACGAAGATGCACTCTCCTTCGACCTTTACCTTCCACTATGACTTCTTCCACTAGACTTGGCTTCTGGCTGTTTTTGATCACTCTTATTCTTATCTAGCAGTCTATGGGACTGTACCCACCTGCAGTATGGGCTGCAGCTGAATGCCTACCTCCACCTTGAATTTTTTCTTGGTGCTTCACTTGATTTCTTATCTGGACAACTTCACACCTGAAGATTGAAGCCTCGATGCTCGTGAAGTTTTTTTCTTCTGGATTTTAGTATCCTATAGTTGATAGTGTCTTCCGTAAGCATCGAGGATGATGCTTCTTTGGGAAGGGAGTAATGTAACATGACGGGATTCGCCATGCATGTGCTGCTAGAGATGCACGAGAATTCCTGAAAGGGGTAGCTAGGCATGCATGGGATTCTCCGATAGAGAAGCCTAGCTAGATCCGAATTAGACACTTGCTACCCTAGAGTCCCCTCCCCTATCTCTGCTGGAAGGAAATGTCCAGCAGAGCATAGCATCGAGGTGCTACACCAAGATGCTATGCTTGATGGACAGGCAACTATTCTTCCAAATATCTCTCTCCTTGTCACTACCTTTCCCTTCCTAGTATAAATATCTCTCTCCTTGCCTTGTATGTATCATCTCTATCTTCTTGGTCATCTATCTACTACCTTCTTGATCATAATCTGGATATTCTCTCTTCTTGGAATTAGACTCCAGCCTAGTCGAAGAAGCTTCCTCTCTTCGCTTCCGCTGCGTACCTCTTCCCTACGGTGCAGCCGGTCCCGGTCTGGCCAGCCATCCCTAGCTTGGTGGCGCCGTACCAGCAGCATGCATGTGAGTGAGTGAGTGAGTGAGAGCAGCATGCATGTGAGTGGGTGAGTGAGAGCAGCATGTGAGTGACTGGGTGCGAGCAGCATGTGAGTGAGTGAGTGAGTGAGAGCAGCATGTGAGTGAGTGAGTGAGAGCAGCATGTGAGTGAGTGAGTGAGTGCGAGCAGCATGTGAGTGAGTGAGTGAGTGCGAGCAGCACATGAGTAAGTGAGTGAGTGCGAGCAGCATGTGAGTGAGTGAGTGAGAGCAGCATGTGAGTAAGTGAGAGCAGCATGTGAGTGAGTGAGAGCAGCATGCGAGTGAGTGAACGGAGCATGTGAGTAAGTGAGAACAGCATGGGAGTGAGTGAGATCAGCATGTGAGTGAGTGAGAGCAGCATGCGAGTGAGTGAGAGCAGCATGTGAGTGAGTGAGAGCAGCATGCGAGTGAGTGAGAGCAGCATGTGAGTGAGTGAGAGCACATGCGAGTGAGTGAGAGCAGCATTTGTTTCCTCCATTTCATGCAAAGCTGCAATCTTTCATACCTGCCGTGCCTTCTCTCTCCTGGTCTTCCACCATAGCTCGCACTAAGCTCCTACCCATCTCTTGT